TCGCCCGAGACTTGGATTCTTGTCTTTGATTAATACACGGCCTACGCAGAGGGTGGGGAGGGGGCGTGACGTCAGCTGGCACACCGTGTGACGCTGCCGCATGCGGGTGACATCACAGATGTGACGTCACCGCTCACTTGCCGTGCAAAATATATCCATTATTGCGCCCCCCAAAATACAAAAGTAAAATTGTATACTTTTTTCATGGTGTACAGTCTGGAAGCTACCCACATGCCAAGTTTCAAGTTTGTTGCATGTCGGGAAGTATGCTAAACATTTCGAACAGACACACATTCACAAATTTCCATTATATATATAGATTACACAAGGAATACATTCAGTGGTGGGTCGCAGTTCTCTGGGCAGACTTGATTCAGTTTTTTTTTAAATATATATAAGTGTAGTGTAGTAGAACGACACTATTGTGTTGGCTCGGTATGGGGGCTGTAGGCGGGTGTCACGGAGGTCGTGTCATACTCTGCATGAACCCAACAGGACACGTTACCGGATAAAGGGGGGCCAGGGGCCCCAGGGGGGTCACGTGGATGGGGGCTCGGGCCTTCCCGAAGGGGTCGGGAAGGGGCGCGTGGCCTGGGGCGTAGCCGGCCATGCTGGAGTGGTTATAAGTGGGGTGTGGATGGAGAGCTGGGCTGTTCTGCTGGGTCAACTCTGGGATGAAGCCACCATCTACGATCATCGTTCTCCGGTCCAGAAAAGTAGTATCTCCGTGCGTTAGCTAAGCTCGGAACGGTGGTTACCACCCTGTCGTTATCCTGTTAATGTTAAGAGTTACCCGTTGTGTTTAGCTAATAAAGTGTTGTCTCCAAAGTTCCACTGTGTGCCTGAATTTAACCCACTACACAAGCATCGAATTGGAGAAATAAAGGCAACAGCTCATGTAATGTTACATTGTTTTTGTTGCAGTGTTTTGGTTTTATAAATCAACTAGCTTATATACCTGGCGTTGCCTGGGCCAAAAAAATATTTCTAAACTACTCTTAAAAATCTAACAGCAGTGCGTACTGTGGTGGTACCTGCTATGATTACAGCAGTGCATACCGACTGTGGTGGTACCTGCTATAACTACAGTAGTACATGCTAACTCTATAGCAGTGTTTATCGACTCTATAGCATAAAGTACTCACCTGACAGAGTGGCATGGTGAGGCCTAGTCCCGTGCAGAGCCTCCGGCCTCGCCTAGATTGTCCAACCGGCCGAGGTGGCACCTTGGCAGGCTGGGGTTGGGCTGCTACCCCTGACCCCCCCCCCCCCCCCCCAGCCACAATCTCCCCGGCCGCTCTGCAGTAATATCTACAGCCTATAGTGGTAGCATCTACCGACTGTATAGTAGTAACTGCACGCATCGGGGTGGGGGGAACATCACACAGTGAAGAATTTACCTGAGCGTTCTGTATTTTTATAGCATTTTTAGCTAAAAAAGAAAATGTCCCTCTCACTCCCACCGTAGGCGTGCGACTTGGCATGGGCCGTCCCCCCCACCAAAGGCGCATGAGTTGGTATGGTCGTGCACTCTTCATAAATAAATAAAAAGAAAGCACACAAAAATCGCACTAAATCGCTAATTAAACTAATTAAAAATTGACGGATGTGAAAAAGGAATAGCGCTTGCTCACGGCGGGGCTTACGGTGTGGTACCTGGCTATTTTTATTTTACGTAAACCCCAACGTTGGAGAGCCAAATCCTTTGCAAGCGCGTGAACACACAAAGAAACCCACAAACCCTGCCACAACCCATACACAAATAATTTTAAAACTTTTCATCTACTAATAAAATGTATTGATAATTCAGCTTGTGTAGCGACATAAATTATATCACTACAGTACAGCGACAGTACCGAGTGGTACTGTATACGGGGTGCCGTTTTATGGCACCAGTGTGTGTACTGCATTAAGGGGCTCACTATAGGGCAGGGTCCGGGTATCACGGAGGTCGGATCAGGACATGACAGCCTGCGTGAACCCGCGAGAGCACGTGACCGGACGAGGAGGCACGCAGACCCCCAGAAGGGGATGAGAAGGCCACGTAGTAGGGACTGAGAGCCTCCACGAAGGATCTAGAAGGGGACGTGGCCAGGGGCAGAGCCTGGTCACACCGGAGCGGTTATAAGCCCAGTCCCAATAGGGAGCTGGGCTGTTCGACCCGGGAATGAAGCTGCCTTCTTCGATCTTCGTTCTTTAGTCTTCGCGCATGAGGACCAGGTAGCGTGTTAGCTGTTATGGTCTGATCATATAGTGATCCTGTTCCAGTGGTTAGGTGTTAGAAGCGGTGGCCACCACCCTATGTAGTTAAACCGAAATGTACATAGTTAACTTGGGAGTGTTGCGCAGTTATCTGTTATGTTAGCTGGTCTGAGTTGTTAGTCAATAAACGTGTTGCCTCTAAGACTCGGTGTGCACCTGTTTAGAACCCACTACACTTGCATGATCTGAACCATACCCCATCCCCCCCGGCATATGTTTCTATGTTTGATGATTTTTTTGTTTGATATGCATCTATGTACTACATACACTTATTTTAAACATTTATAGTGACTCCAACTGAGTCGCAGATGTTGTCTTGAGAGCAACACAATTTATTTCACCAACTCAACATAACACAACCTAGACTTGGGTGTTGAATGCCCATATAGCCACACTATGGCAGAACTAGACACGGTTCGCTATCCCGACCCAGACCACAAGCTGGGTCCCGGACCGCGTGGCTAGAGGCTTTTTTTATCCAACGTGGATCTTCTTCACCAGCAACACGAAGAAACCCGAGTCCCTCAAGAGGCCCCCGTTATATCGGCCTGGGCTGGGGCTGGCTCCGTCCCTCGCCCCGCCCACCTTCTAGATCTCTCGAGCTCTTTCCCGAGCTCTTTTATACCACGTGACCACCCAGCGGCCCCCGTCCACCGGTGACCCCCCTCCAATATCATCGGGTCACGTGTCGGCAGGTCAATCAGCGTATCATGCCCCAACGTAACGCTGGCTGGCTGACACTCCCTCTCGATCCATCACCGGGAGGCCGCACCGCACTCTACGTTGTTCCTCCGGAGAGAGTGCGGAGAGAGACAGCAACCAGAGAAGGTGACCAATTAAGATGCATAATGGTGGCTGCAAATTCAGATACGGTGTAGGCGTCTCAGAGTCTGGAGATTGAGGGGATAGCGGCGGAAGCCACGGGCGTGAGGTGACGGGAGGTCACCAGCTTAATTAATGAGTTAATGAGTGAGGGGATATAAGGCGATGTGCGGAGACACGCGGGAGAGCTGGGAGTTGGGTTTGTTTGAGTGAAGACAAGTCCGGGCCCCGCTCTCCACACCTCGTCCTCTCGAGTGGGGATGCTCTAGCAGTAGAGAAGCTAGCAGAGTATATTATAGGCTAGCAGTGGAGAAGCTACCAGAGTAAAAAGTAATAAGCTAGTAGTGGAGAGGCTAGGAGAGTGAGAACAGGCTAGCAGTGGAGAGGCTAGCAGAGTGTACGGTGGGAAGCTACCAGAGTGTGTAGCGATAGGCTATCAGCAGAGAGGCTAGCAGAGGGAGAGAGAGCGAAGCGTGGCAGGCGAGCAGCGCAGGCGGGAGAGTTGCGACTGAGTTACGTGGTGTTGAACGCGAGGAGTTCTGTTGAATAAAAGTGACACAGGAGAAAAAGAGAGGTGTACGCGTGAAATAAAAACACATTTAATATACCCTCATTTACTGATATAGTTAATGATTGAATGTTGCCGATAATTTATGTATTTCCAGTTTGTTGAATACACTAAATGATTGTAATATTTATTTTTTGTGTAGCACATAGGCTTTTCTTCTTTTATTTAGCAGGTAACGCCTACTGAGCTATTGACTCTTTTTCAGAAGCGACCTTTCCACAAATGATAGCTCACGTGGAAATTTATAGCAGCAAAACAATCAAAACGCATATTTCTAGGTGTGGGGGGGGGGGAACCAGAGGACCCAGAGAAAAATCCAAGCGACCACGGGGAGAATATAAAAATCCAAATATACAGGCGTTAGGTTCGAGATCGAACCCACAACCCCCTGTAAACCAGGTGACAGAGATAACATCTCGCCACCGCGGCACCCTATAATGAAGCAGCAATTGTACCACCCCCTGTCCCTGGCTTGAAAGCAGGTCCTCACGCATCTCGCCCCTACAGCTGGATCATTCCACCTGCGCATGCGTGCAAGAGGGTCGACGGACAACATAAAATAAAATCACAATTTTAAATATAAATTGGTTTAAGCACGTTCATTGTCATAACAGAGTATGTTCGAGACCTTTCATACAATAATTGTATGTTTCAGAGATACAGAGCGTGATTGACGGACACTTCCTTCTAAAACGAATTCGGGTTAAAATTTTCACTACCACCACGGCGTACTGGCTATTTTCGGCCCCATTTCTTGCACTATTTACATAGCAAGATGTAAAACATCAGTGGAAACTGAAGGATTTAAGTCAGCGAAGTCAGTGCGTCACCTCGCAGCGCACAACTTCTCGCGCGAGCGTCGACTTGAACCTGCCACGTGCCACGAACCCGCCCTTTGTTCCCCTGCGAAACCACCCGATTGGTTCCCTGACCGTGCGTGCCACCACGATCTCGTGTCTGATTGGCTACAGCCACAGCGTGGGGTGCCCCCCCCCCCGCCCCGCCCCCTTGCTCCGGGGGTTGTCATAAGAAAGATGGCGGCTCGGGTTTTTTTTTTGTAAAGTCATCGCGCGGCGACTTCTCGCGAGACTTCGCCTCACCGACGTCACGTCCCTCGCGAGAGCCACGCCCTCCCCCCGCCTTACTTTGGCAATGTTGTTGCAAAGGCAAGGGCGGCCATCTTACTAGGGGGGTTAACGCCTCGAGACTGGAGGGGAGGGGGGAGAACGTTGGTGCAACGTCATCGAAAACGCGCCGCGCGCCGTAGGAACACATTGGGGGTCTACCCTATGTAAGATGGCGGTCAGTTTACCACGTCGGCTGAGTTGTCACGCCCAACGCAAGCCCAAGGCTTCATGTAAATCCACAACAAGGAACTCGCCATATTCGTTCCCCTGTCGGCGCAGACGGCGCTCGCGGTTTGCGGTGAGGCACAGCGCTAGACGAGAGTCGAGAAGGCGGCTTTATTATCGCTGATCGAGGAGGAGGAGGAGGAAGAAGGCCGTCCCGATACAAACGCGGCAGTCGCTGGATGCGGCATGGCAGGCGCAGCGGGGGGCGGCAGGGCGCACTCGTTCAAGGCGGTGTTGCTGGGCGAGGGCTGCGTGGGAAAGACGTCTCTGGTGCTGCGCTACTGCGAGAACAAGTTCAATGACAAGCACATCACAACGCTACAGGTGCCCAGCGTGAGCGTGCGTGTGTCTCCACGTGCACCTAGCCTGGCACCGAGCGGCGCGGTGACGTCACTTAGCCGCGAGAGGCGGATGTTGTTGATGTTCTTGTGGATTTAGGGGGGATATAACACGGCTCGCATGGGATAGCTACGAACCCGGTGACCTGGGATCGATTCCCCCTCAACGGTGACCCATCAGTGGCAGAATATCTGCCCCCCAAGGATTGCCCTTAAACGAATGCAGTACAGCACCGTGCCTGGTGCGGTGTCTACAACGTGGCGGCAGGGGAGACGGCCTTAATAGGTGCTCGCCAACCTGCCCAGACGGGGGGAGACGATTGCCCGCGTGTCTTTGGATCACTGTGTAGCTGAAATATTCGTGGCACTGTTCGTGTGCCTTTGGGTTCGTCGCCGTCATTGTCTTGGGCTTCTCTGTATCGCTCGGTAGGTTACTGCGTGTGTCTCTTATTGAGGGTTATCGAGTGTGTCACTCGTGTCATAGAGTTTTTTGGGTATGTGTCACTGATGCGTGTGTGCAAGTGCGTCATTGGTTACAAATACAAATATCCCCCGTGTAGCCTTAACAGAGTTTTGGGCCAAGTGCTGTTAGCGAGCACCTTTGAAGACCGGCACGGCGCACGAGGGAGGCAGCACCACGCCCTGGCCGCCTTTGGCTGCCTCGTGACAAATGTTTACACACCGCACCAAAATACAATTGAACATGAATCTTAAGCTCTGGGTGTTTGCTTCGGGTTGTATCACTGTCTTTTGCGTACTGTGGTTGTCACTGGGTTACAATGTGGGTGATTTTTACCGAAAGAACCAACAATATGAATCCCTGCAGTCACGAAAGCTTTAAATCAAAATGTGGGTCTTAGTTAATGTTTGTGGCACTGTGTTTATCACTTTTTTTGTGGTCTATGGGTGTGTGTGCCGTTGTCATCAGGTCACTGGGTTACAGCATTTGTCACTGACATAGTTTGAGTAATTTGCGCACTGCTCTGAACGCCGCGATCAACGTTTCAATCCTGGCCATGGCTCAAAGGAGTGGCAAGTGATATCTGAATCTGTTCTGGCCTTCCCACTTCATCATTGGGAACTGAACAGCATGGTCAAATGAGCAACTGCGTATGGGAGGCCTTCATCCAATTGTGACTTGACATGGCTGTAAGTTTTTTTTTGTAATATTGATTTCGTTGAAGGTATGTTGGATTGAGGTGGGAAAAGGGCCTTTAGACTTAAAGAAAGGATCGCAAGTAAAACAGTCCAAGGAGAATGCCATTTCAGAGCAGTGGGGGAGTAACCACCTCACATGTAAACATCGCTTTGCCAGTTACAACGTTTTTCTAAAGGCAGAAGTAACCAGTGCCACCTAATTCCTTCATCACTCTTCCCATTTTAACATCCGCATATTCCTCACATCAACATGTTATGTTATTACAACTACACTAGCGTTCGTCACGTATTTTTTTTATCATGTTTCTGGACGAGGGTCTAAAGACTAGGGGTTGTTGTAGCAAGGTTCAACGGTTGAAGCACATGTTACTCTTACAAGATTGCGTGACCCCGTGATGTGAGTGCGCGTGCTGTAATTTGAATGGTGTCCAAAGGGTTTGTAGTTTTACAGAAAGCTCTAATGCTGAGCCTTTTTATAATGAGTCCACATGCCTTGCATGTTTTTTTTGTAGCGTTTGGCGATGTACTTTGTGACTTGCCGGTACTTAATTTTCTTTGCATAAAGAATGTTGGATACATGCTGCCTCTTTTTGGTGCATCTTCATTATTACACTCGTGATTGTGATGGGGAACGTGTACTGCCAGTCGGGTACATTATTAAGTACTGTTAAATTATTTTAATTTTTCCAATACCTACCAAACTACGGTGTCCCTTAGACTTGTGCCAAGCAGTGTCATAATGTGCCGCTTTTTGTGCAGACACTGCATTGAGTTAATTCATGTGCCCATGCTGTGATGGGTTTATGGCATGCCCCATGAAACTTGCTTTTTCTCTATTTAGTAAAATAACTGAGTATTGTGCATTGTATGCGGAGTCGTCACTAAGCTTAATTGTGTGAATTTTTAAGAGTGCCTTTTTTAGTTTGAGAGTGCAATCTTGTGCCAAGTTAATTTAAGCTCAGCCATGGATGGAAATGTGTCTCATCCTTTAATGATGCCTTGTAGAACACAGATGGGAAATCAGCTTAATTAATTTCCCCATTGCGTGGATTGATGTGTAATTGATATGGATGAGATCTCAACCCACTGAAATATGAGTTGGAGAACGAGTGCCCGTTTCAGTGGTATTTGTTAATCTAAACTCAATGCTGTACATGCACTTACTTGTAGGCAGAATGCTTACTGTGCATTTCCCAACGACTTTTGCTGAATTTGCGTCTTTGCTGCAGCGATTCCTTTCTCCACTTGCCAGGTACCTGCCAATTTCTAAATCCATTGCCAATAATGAATATTGGGTCATTGGACGTGACTTGTCCGTTCAGCAGATTGTGGATCACAGTTGACACGTTTTTGCAATTTGCTCAAATGTGCTAACATTTGTGACAGTGTGGGGAATTTCCTAATGGATAATATATAATTATTGAGAAATGTTCTTTTAGTAACTGGTGATTCATTTCCAGAATTATTGTTCACTACAGTGTGCACACTGGTTGGGTGGTGAAGCGGTTAGCAGGTTGCTCACAATTTGAAAATACGCGAATTCAAAACCTGGATGGGGGTTCACCCAAGCCTATCTTCTCACAACGGTTGATACAAATGTGTATTGTTTTGTGGAGAGGTCACTCGTAGTTGCCTTATTGGTACTCATCCACACCATAGGGATGTGGAATGTATACCACTGGATGAGGGCTGTAAACGGCAGATGACTACCATCTCGTGCTCATTTCAACAGGAAACTGCTAGATTTGTTTTACTTCTGCGCATACAGTGGGCTCTCCTTTAGAGCTATGTCTCCACTAATTCTGTAATTATTCGCCACCCTCGTGATTCAAATAATTGTCATGGAGTTAGGATTTCGCTTCAATTCAAGCATCATTTTTTTTTACATTGTGCCTTTTGTGGTTCCAGTAAAATCAGGAGCCATATGAACCAATTGCATAAATGTTCGTCAACTTATTAAAATTTGCACGCATGTATATTGTACGTAGATATTTTTTTAGGTTATGCATCAACAGTGACCACTAGAGCGGGGCAATTACTCCAAGAACCATACATGTTTTACTAATATACGTGGACACAAGTGGCCCATGTTTATGCCTGGCAATAAGCACAAAACTACCTGTATGTATGCTACGCTGTACACTTTGTTGCTGTGTGTAGCCTAAGCCACCGCGAGGCTGGCCAGGTGCCATGGACTTCCCATATCGCCTTAACGCCACACTGGAGTTTCGATGGAATTGATCAAATTGCATGTACAGTGCTAGGCATTGATCGGTGCTCCGCATTTGGATCCTGGGATGGAATGCGCATTATAATTTTTATTATTACTGATGGTCTCTTGTGTAATGGCAATTATGCTCGGTTGGCAAGGCCCCCCACAAGACCCTCTCTCCTTGCTTGAATGCCACACCTAGCTCTGTGCAATCTGCCATACTGGCCATTCCATCTCGTGTACTTGCTTAGGAATTGTATTTGACTCCCTAAGATCGAATCTTGATTTCAAGTTAGGAAACGTGTGGTTTATACTAAGGTCTTTTTAAAGTCACCTTTTAGATTTTTCCTGTGTACCATTTGCTTTCATCTGTTATTGGTTATACATTGTGCTTTTTTGTGTTCAGCTGATATAATAAACAGCATCCAAACCCCTAAAGTAAATATTAGTCATAGCTTCAAGAGTGCATTGCATTTGGTCTGTTTATGCTGTGGCAGTGTGCCCATGAACATGAGTTCAAATTTCATTCGGTAGATGGACAAACCCATAATTCTTCTTGGACACATTCAGCACTTTGGTCAGGCCATTGCTGGATGAAGGTCTCCCTACAATGTGTGGGTCATGTGGGTTATTTGACCATACTTAACCATGCTGGTCATTGTATATTGGTGAAGCCAGGCAGTACAGTAGTAGAACCTCTGGTCACGACCATAATTCGTTCCATAACTTTGGTCGCACTCGATTTGGTCGTGACTCGAACCTAATTTCCCCATTGGATTGTATGTAAATACAATTAATCCGTTCCAGACTCCTACGAACTATATATAAATATTGTTTTTTAAAGATTTTTAAGCACAAAAATAGTTAATTATGCCATATAATTCACAGTGGAATAGTAAACTAAATGTAAAAACATTGAATAACACTGAGAAAACCTTGAACAACAGAGAAAACTAACATTACCGCGTAAAGGTTTAGAATCGTTCAACAAGATGATTGTTTCGTCTGCTACATCAGTCGGTCGATTCTGAGAGAGAGAGAGAGAATATTCGTATGAGCAATTCATGTTTCTATTAAAAGTAATTTAACAGTAATATTTGGGTACAGTATTGTTTTTGGAAGCATTCACCGTAATATCGTATGAACGTTTACTTCACCACATCATCATATGAATGATGCGAGAAGAGATTAACGGGTTCTTATGTTAGCGATGTACGTACTCAGCGCTTTCGCTCTCTAAATTACGGCTTGAATGAGGGGGGAGGGATTTGACTACTCACAAAATTAATATCTTACTAGGAATTTTATATAACAACAGTTATATATATAACTGTTACGCTTTGTGTTGTTTGTTGTAACCAAACAACAGAAAATTTGGCGCTTACAAAAAAATGGCGCGGAAGGGGAAATCGGCCGCGGCCGTGTTTGATCTTCACCCGAGTTTGTGTTCGTGACCAGATTCAAAAATTTTGTGCATTTTTTGGTCGTAACCCGATTTGGTCGTGGTCAGAAGCGTTCGTGACCAGAGGTTCTACTGTATAGATGCTGCAGCACAGCACAGTTTAAGAATGGCTTTTTTTGCTTTGTTCTCGATTGAGAATATGGTTCCGCATCAT